ATCTTTCCAGAAGTACACACATCTTTCTCCTGTGGAGCAGCTGGTGGGTTCAAACTACCCATTTTCCAATTGCAGCAAGGGCTCCTTCAGGAGTGGGATTTGTTGTTGTTGTTAAGTGCCGACAAGTCAATTCTAACCCATAGCGACCCTGTACAGGGTTTTCGAGGCTATAAATCTTTACGGGAGCAGAAAGCCTCATCTTTCTCTCAAGGAACAGCTGGTAGTTTCGAACCGCTGACCTTAAGGTTCGCAGCCCGATTCGTAACCACTACGCTACCAGAGCTCCTTTACAGGAGTGGGATAGGCCCTGGCAAATTTTTAGACGCTCCCCTGTTAAAAGCCTAATGTGCCGCCTGATTAAGAACTACTGCTGGACGAGGAATGAAGACACAGAATTAGTAGGAACGTAAGTGTGCTGAGGACTCTCTGGGTGCTGCAAACGGTGAACATATTTCACTGCTAACTGAAAAGTTGGATGTTGAAGTTCACTTAAAGATGCCTCAAGAGAAAGACCTAACAACTTTACTCCTGAAAAACCAGTCACTGAAAACCCTATGGAGTACACAGGAGGTCATCATGAATCAGAACTAACTTAAAGGCAACCGACATGGGAAACGTACCACTGTGGGGGAGCATCCCTCCCTGGACAGCCCTAGTCATATGACCGCTGGACCATTTGCCCTGGCATGACAGTCGGGGGCCCTGGTCACATGACCACTGGACCATCTGCTCTGGCATGACAGTGCTCTGTATATATATCTTACTTCTAAGAAAGAGTCACGGAAGCAAATGTGTAGGGCTATAGCACCCATGAGGTTCCTATGGAACAATTCTACTTTATAGATACATGGGGTCTCCATGAGTCAGAATCGACAGGATGACAGTGGGTGTTTTTTGTGAGGTTTTTTTATTTTTTTGGTAACAGTCTAAGGACTGCTTCCTAGGCCCAAACCTTGAGGGAAGCCTAAAAAATTCTTTTTTCTGTATGTCCAGAAAGCTGGCAGTAGGAGCATTGCTCCTCATTGTTCCATACTCTTCTCTGAATTGATTACGGTGCTAGGTCTGGGAAGCCTGGGTTTTAGAGAGCAGCATTAATTTTGAAGGACCAAGCTGATGTTTCAGAAAAGAGGTCTTATTTCACATATGTCGTTGTTAAGTATCAAGGAGTCAGTTCCAACTCATAGTGACCCTGTATAGGATTTTCCGAGGAGCAGCTGGTGAGCTTGAACTGCCGACCTTGCAGTTCAAACTAACCTTGCAGTCCTGTGCATTAACCCACAGCACCACACCAGGACTCCTGTGGTTCATTTTGGGAACCTTAATAAGGAGCTTTGGTAGCGTAGTGGTTACGAATCGGGCTGCGAACCGCAAGGTCAGCAGTTCGAAACTACCAGCGGCTCCGCGGGAGAAAGATGAGGCTTTCTGCTCCCGTAAAGATTTACAGCCTCGGAAACCCTGTACAGGGTCTCTATGGGTCGGAACCGACTCGACAGCATTCAACAACAACAATAAGGGGAATTACAGGCCAATTCAGAACTGTATCCCATCTGGTGATTTTAATCCCACTAGTTAAAATCCATTTAAGGAGCTCTGGTAGTGTTGTGGTTAACGGGCTGCTAACCTCAAGGTCAGCAATTCAAAACTACCAATGGTTCCATGGGAGAAAGATGAGGTGTTCTGCTCCTGTAAAGATTTACAGCCTTGGAAACCCTGTGCAGGGTCACTATGAGTCGGAACCGACTCTTCGGTACTTAACAACAACAAGTTAAAATCCATTTAGTTGCTTTATGCTTAGTTTTAGTCAAAGGAGCAAGAAAGACACCCCTTAATAACACAGCAAGAAAAGACTCTCTTTCCAAAACAAGTAACTATCAACACGCCTGAATTTGTCACTGTGCTCCGGGTTTGCAGACAGCGTTCTGGCTGGCACAGACGCTCGCAGACTCGGCGACCACCAACAGCTGCACCCGATCGTACCAGCAGGTGCAGGGGCAGAACCCAGCTAAAAATTCGGCTCAAGAACAATGGCACCGTTATGATGCCAAAGGACGAGGTCCAACTCGAGCCAGGACTTCACTACCCTCAATGATGGAAAGAGCTAAAGCTCAGGCCCAGCTCAGTGGAATTTAGCCTTCTTGTCCATGAATCACATCCACAGACACAGCCAGGTAGCAGCTATCATTGTAGGGCCCGACCAACCACAGAGTTAGACGAATAAAAATAAATCTCTCCCGAAAATGTATTCTTTTCTTTTTAACAGATCTTCTCCTCCCGCCGTGGGCTGCACTGCCATCACCACCAAGTTTACATTTACATCCAAATATGCACACACAAAAAAATTACCGATGCATCTCACTCCCCGGTGACTTTATAACAGGTTGCTAGGTAACAGTGCATACAAGTCAGGTTTCAGGACCTCTAGTAAGCCACCATAAAATAGCTGCATGGGCCTTTTGCATAAATAGTGTGCATTTGTTATCTGTTTTCATATACCAATTGATCAGTCAGTAAAACTCTGACTGCCAAACCATAAACAACTCCCATCAATATCGAACTGACGGAAAAAAACAAACCAAAAAACAGATCCCAATAGGACGCTGTAGTGCACAATCTTTTGCCCCAACCTACAAACCAGTTTGTCTCCTTGTGTTGCTCCAGTCTGCCATCCCCACCCACAGATGGGTCTGGAGCTAATTAGAGCCTGCCGTGAGACACCCAGAGCCATGTCCAACAGCAGGAGCAGCGCATCACACACCAGTGTGTAATCCCATCGGAAACCTTCCCTCCCTCACTGCACTCTTCCCCAAGTCTCAACAAATTCCTGGAGTCATGACGTAAAAGGAGTAACCCTATACTCAAGAGTTATCCACCCCCACTCCAGCTTTTCTTTGTCTGTTAGGTAAGGAAATGCCCTTTTTAATAAGCTTTGCCAAATAAATGTTATCTGCATTCTTTCCCTCCGGATTACACTATAAAAACAACACAAAACTAAAAACAAAACCCGGTGCTGTAGAGTCGATTCTGACTCATGATAACCCTATGTGTTACAGAGTAGAAAGGAGCTTCAGGGTTTTCTTGGCTATAATCTTTACAGAAGGAGACTGCCAGGTCTTTCTTCCGCAGCACTGCTGGGAGGTGTCAAATCCCCAACCAGTAAAAAAAAAAAAAGACACCCTGTGGAGTCCAGTTTCTTGCCATGACTTTACCAATGTCCCCGTGAGTAGCCAGGAATAAATCATCTATGCCAATTAGGGATCCTGATTTTACTATAACTGAAAGCAAAAATCAAACCTACTACCACTGAGAGCTAACAGTCTCATCTTTCTCCCATGGAGCTGCTGCTGGGTTTGAACCACTGATCTTGAGGCTAGCACTCCAATGTCTAACCCACAGCACACCACACCATTGGAGCCCATACAAGAAAACCTTTTGTAATAGTATCAGCAAGAGAAAGGCCATCAAGGAAGAACTACGGTTTCCCTGAAGATGAAATTCTAAAGAATCAGGGAGATGAAAAGTAAACTGGAAACACATATTTCCCTCCATATCTTTTCAAAGATTTTAAAACATAAAACTCGATGTTTCTAAAATCCTATTTCCCGCTAGGTTAGGATGAAAGGTAGGTAGGGGAAGGAGTGGCACATTCTGATTCCTGTGATGTAATTACTTACTCAGGACCATTACAGGCTGTGCTGCACTCTGTCAGTTCCTGCTGTTTTCCTCATCAGTTCATTTCTGTGGCACCTTACTTTCCATTCCTTATCTTTCCTCATTTCTTCCCAGCTAGCTTCTCTCATTCCTGAGGGGCAAAGATCTGGGGAGACCAGGATATTCCAAAAGGCCCGACTGAAGTGTCACTGAGCAAAAGGACTTCAGAGAGAAGTTGAACCTCTAATTCACCTGGCAATGACATTTAGTGAAATGTGACTCACAGTCCATTTCAAGGAAGGCGGTGACCAATTATTCTCCATTTAAAAGGGTATTGTCAAACTCCAAAAAGCTGAAATGGCATTTGGAAATCACCATCATGGGGACTGGACTGCCATCTTCACTGAAAGACAGAACCGGTTCTCAACCGACCGACCTCCGCACACACACACAACTCCTTTAAAATTTAAAACCACACTTTTTAAAACATTATGAGTCTCGCACAATCCTGCAACATGTCTTGTCATTCCAAGAGACAGCCATGAACAAGGGTGGTCCCTCAGCAGCTCAAGACCCTCTGCTCCACATCAAAACTTAGCACAGAAATTAAAGGAAAGAAAAAAAAAAAAAAAGATGTCTTTAATGAAAAAGACATAAGCATCATGCTCAATTCCATGGTGATGTACAGAAATATCGAGGAGTAAGAATTTTGTTTTGCTTTGTTTTTTAAACAATATATATACATGCCATCTTCTAGCCAGAAAGCATTTGGGTAATTGTGGAAAAAAATGTTGTTTTGTGCTTTCTTTCCTAACACTGTCTAAGATTATCTTTACCACTTGCTCAAAATTTTAAAACTCTATGAAGGCTCATAGTATTCTCTGTATATTAGGGTCCTTTAGAAGTCTTTCAAATTATTCAAGCAAAGAACTTGAATAATACAACCTAACATAAGTCATGCAAGTACTTTAAAAAACAAACCCCAAGGCAGAGACAAGTTAAACAGGGTCCAAGGTCATACCATGCAACTGGCAAAAATCTAGCATACCATGTGACTTTTCCCAGACCAAAAAAAAAAAAAATATATCCATAAAGGTGGTAAGTAAATCACCATCTTCTCTTATTTCTACCCAACCAAAGCAATGCTCTCTTCCAAAGGATTGAGAAAAAAAAAATTGTTTTAATTAAAAGGAAAGTCAAGGAGCACAGTTAAGAAAGCCTTACGTAGACAGTTAGGATTTAAAAGAAGCTCGAAATCATCCAGTTCTCCCAGCTCATTTTGCAGATGAGAAAACTGAGGGAGGGAGAAAGAAAGAGAGAGAGAGAGAGAGAATACAACCCTATTCAAGTACCTGACAGCTTCATGAGAAAATCAGACGCCATCTTAACAGAGATGTCCTGGCTGAACAATGCTGACGCACTGTTGGCCACATACTCGGAAGGGTCTTTCAGCTTTGTGTGGTTGGCGGGCCTGTCGGCAGTGTTCAGGGTAAAGGAGGTGGGCAGGCCGTTATCTTCCTTGGGTTCCTCCTTCACCAGCAAAGGCGAGATGCCAGCCCCACCCTGGCTAGTCCTCTCTGGAGTGTTAGACGTCATCATGGTCCCCACTAGCTCTGTCCCTCCTCCTTCCCTTTGCTGCCCCAGGCAGGCACTGTCACTGAGGTGGGGCGATCCCTTGACATCTGTGTCTGGGATCTCCTCCTTCACCTTGGCTTCTGTCCTCAGGAAGTGCTGGTGGCAGCGCATGTGGAGTTTCAGGCTGAAGTGGCGTGAGGAAGTGAAAGGGCAAAGCTGGCACTGAAAGGTCTCTCCTCGGTCCTGGTGCTGATGAACCTGACGGAGAAGCAAGAAGAATGAGCTATCCACTGTGCGCTTACGGAAAATGGTTTGTTGCATATCCTGACTGCTCATCAATAATTTTCTCATAGTACAAAGGGCTGGTCCAAGAAGTAAAACAACCAGAGCAGCATTTCATTACTGGGTTCCAAGCAATAAGGTTAATCCCTAACTGTATAAAGTTGGTCCACACAGGTTTGCTGTTGTTGCTGGTAAGCACCCATTATTAGAACCACACTCACAACCAACTTATGGATGCTTCTTTTGGTAGAATTGTCCTTACATGCTAGTCATCATATCTCAGTTGAGGTCTTCAGACAAAATTATAGGAACCCAACACAATGCAAACTTACATAATGATGAGCTGGGGGTCAAAAGAGGTAAACTGTCAAGTGGTTCCTCTCCTGATAAAAATAACTTGGATGCCTCTCTCTTCAGTAATTAAGAACCTGGAAAACAACTCTCCAGGGGATTCCCAGTTCATAGATAGGGAAATTGAGACCCCAGAGTAAGTGATCTGAGAAACTCACACATGAAGATAGCAAAGCAGAGTGGGAGAAAGGTCAAGCTCTGAGCCCACCAAGTATCCTGAGCAAGACACAACCACCTTTGCCAAATGTGGTTAGTGTTTCCCGTTTCAGATTCCGATGTCTGCAATGCCAGGAGGCTGGTTTCTAAAGCCAGTTCTGGTCTTCCATATACCATACATGCAAAGATTGCAAGAAACTTTTTCTTCAGGCCACTACCAACTTTAGTGCTTGTAAAAGTAAGGAAATCATTGCATTGGCCTGAAACTGGCTCCGAACTGGCAGATGTTCTGTAAGCCTGTAATTTCCCCATTCATGTCTGCCAATGTACTTCAGTCCTGACCTGTAACAATCCCCGCTATTTTAGTCCTGGCCCTCTCTGAAAGGGAAACTGCCAATTTGTAGAATTTGGGTCAAATTATTTGGGTTATTGTGTGATCTGGACAAACAAGTAAGTGATAGGAACTCCAACCTAAAACAGAATTGACACCTCATCTATCAGTTGTAATTTCAGGGGGATTTGAATTCAGCTCCAACCAAGATGAAGGGTGCATTCCTTAAGCCCACTGACCCTCAGGCATGGGTTTCCTTTCCAAGAGAGCAAGTTTTTAGTACAGCTGTTTATACATTCTGAATGCAATCCAAAAGCATTATTCACCAGCCAAAACATACTTTTAAATAACGCTAAGTGACCAACAAAAGCAAAGAAATTAAAAGTTAATGGTGAGATCCTGCCACTACAGCACCCCACTGTGGCTTTTGGAACAAAACAACAGAAAACATTCTGGGTCCCCCAAAGTATGACTTTCTCAATAGAAATAACCATATAAACTTAAATTCCCTTGCAGCACTGTATTGTTCATTAAATGGATTCCTTTCTGCCTGGGGGTGAGAAGAATTAAGGGAGAGGGAAACACAAGGCTTATCACTGTTAATATCCCCCTTGTCTGTTCTCTCACAGCTGAGAGATCATTTCATTTGCTTTCTCACAGAATCATGAGGATTCCCAGCTATCTCCTCTACCCAGTGCCCTCGGAAGCAGACACCTTGGTGGCCTGAGGTCACAGTCCCACAAGACACAGGACGCTTCCAGGTACTACCAGAAGTATGCCCCGGAACCAGGTGGTAAAGATCAGGAGGCAGAAAGCTTCCGTTCCTCAGAGCAGAGCTGCAGGAACAGATTCCATTTCAGCAGCGTCCTGAAATCTGTTAACCCAGGAGAGGACAGGAGTTTAATCCATGAACAGAAACTTGGGGTGCAGCTTCTGGAAGAAGGAAAAGGGCAGAGACAGAAGCCCACATTCTAAAATCAAAAGGGAGCCTTGGATGAAAAAGAGACTGTGTGCAAGTATTTTATGTGGCTTCTTTTCTACCAGATCCTGGCCTCGCTATATTTAGTTATGGAAACATGAGTGGAAGTTTAAAGGAAAAACAGGCGATGTTGTGCTGACTTTTGCATGTGTAATTTCATTTGAGCTACACCTTCCCGAAGAGACTACAGATCATATTCAGATTTTGAGAGACTAATATATTAGCTCTACCTTCCAGTAGCAGTTCCTTCCCTTCTCTCCTGACAGAAAGATACTTTTCTATTTTAATTTTTTAATTCTCTTTAGCCTAACACTTGCTGGAAAACTCCTCTTATGTCTGCTAATGTAGCGAAAATTTTGTCTCAAAGATTTCTTTCTTTCCAGACCAATGTTTAGAGACTCACTGATATGGTCATTTCTCACCAATAGTACATATTACTCATCCTAAAGTACCGGACTGTTGACTGCAAAATCAGAGGTTCAAACCCACCAGCCACTCCATGGAAACCCTATTGAAGGGTCCGACGGCACTTAGCAACAACAAGAAAACATGGGAACTAGAAGGCACCCTGGATGGTACAAATGGTTCATGGGCTTGGTTGCTAACCAAAAAGTTGGGAGGTTCAGATCTACCCAGAAGTGCCTAGGAAGAAAGACCTGGAGATCTACTTCTAAAAACTCAGGCACTGAAAACCCAATGGAGCACAGTTCCACTGTGACACTCACAGGTCACGATGAGTAAGAATTAAATCAATGGCAAAGGTTTGATTTTTAAACTGGCTTTACATCATTACCATTATCATAATGATTATTATTACCAATTCCGAGCAGTGCTCAAATGCTCTGGTCACGGTATTTCAGAGCATGGAAAAACTTTGTGAAAGATCTACTCTGCTCCACTTATGGGGAAAAGGCCAGGCAAACTAAGGGACTTAATGAGGACTCATAGCTTCTTAAAAGGCAGAGCTAAGACTCGCAGACCTCAGCTTCCTGAACTCCTAGTTCATTACTTGCCCAGTGTTCTTTTCCTTAGCAGTCTTCCTCACGTTTGCTGGTGAATTTTACCTTATGAATTTCACATATAATTCCTGTAGGCTCACTCTTCTAGTGAAGCTGTAAGAGGCTTCATGGAAATCTAAGAAACCGTGAGGAAGCTGGAGGCATTTTTAACAGGTTCCTTCCAAAGCAGACCATAAAACTTTTGTTTAACATATTAAAGAAATACTGAGCATGTAACACCAGTAGGAATATAGTAGATCCTGTATTTGTTGGACATATAATACCATTTACCCTGAATTAATACATGTAACTAATACAGAAAAATACACATCAAAATAATAATAATGTTTATTTCTAGGTGATAGAATTAAGAGTTAATTAAATATACATTTATTTTTTGTTTGTCACTTTTTTCTAAATTCTCAACACTAAAGTGGTCATCAGAATAAAGTTAGTTTATTTTAGAGCGTTATCTTAGAGTAATTTCTTATAGCATCCCACTGATTTTGTCTAAATATGCATGTTAATGTGCATACAGGTGACTTTCTGACAATAATTACTATAAAAATATATTTATTGAGTGTTTCTCCATGTTGGGCATTGAATTGTTTTATGTACATTCACTCATTTAATTCCTATAACAACTTCATACAATAGCATGATTATTATCTCCCTTAGTGAAAATGGAGACTGAGAGAACGCAAATGGTTCGTTCATTTATCGTGCTAAATTGTGGAACATAAGATATCCTGGTGGAGCAGCAGTTAAGCACTCAGGGGCTAATGAAAAGGTCGGAAGAAACATGTGGCTGTCTGCTTCAGTAAAGATTTACAGCCTTGGAAAACACTACAGGGCAGTTGGACTCTGTCCAATAGGGTCGCTATGAGTCTGAATCAACTCAACGACAATGTGTTTGGTTTTGGGTTTTATGGGTGCACATAATAGAGGATATCTATGCATGAGACCAGAGTCCTGGGTTGGTGCTGTGGGTTAATACACTGGACTGCAAAGTTGGTTTGATTCACAAGGTCGGCAGTTCAAGCTCACCAGCTGCTCCTTGGAAACCCTATACAGGGTCACTATGGGTTGGAACCGACTCGACGGCACTTAATAAGAAACAACAACATGCAGAAGACCACATCCATTATATTTATGTGTAGGCAGTACTTGCAAAATTCGGTCAAATGAAAGTGTATCTAATTAGAACATAAGATCATGAATTATTTGAATAAAAAAAAGAAGAAAAGTCTCATAAGTGAGGTGGAGAGCGGGCAGAAGAAAGAGTACCCCATTTGATACAATTAAACTTGCATGAGCTGGTCTCACACTTCTGTTATCAAAAGCCAGAATAGTAGCTCAACAGGTTAGGACACCATGAGTTTGAATAAAGAAGTGATTTCACACAACTGCTTTATTGTACTGGTTATTGATTTGTTCTGAAAGCATTCTCAGACCCCCATGACCCACAAAGGCCTCACGGCTCTCATCTGTAACACTGTCATGGCCACGGCCGGTATTATCAAGGCACCCAACCCGTCTCCCTGTAGCTTCAGGGTCAGCAGTTCCTGCTATTGAAAACCCAGCTTTTTTTTCCATGGGTTTATAAATAGGTAGTTTTAAGTGACCCTGAGCTGAAACCAAGCTTACAAGGTGTCAGGCTGGATGTAAGTTTTCTGCTCATTGGAGCTTTAAATTCCGTGGGCCTGATTCCTAAGCACAGCTCCTAAGCTAAACACAGAGGAAATGAAACAATTTTTTGTTTTAGAGCCATTTATTTTTAAGTCTAATCCTGCTAATGAAATTCACCTTGAGGGTTTAAACTAGGCGATTTCACTGTGTAAAATTCAACCAACCAGACTTCTGGTTAAGTGGATTCCGAAGATGAAGAGCAGGCAACCCCCAGGCAATGAAAGATGATAGAAAAAGGTAAAACAACAGAAAACAAACTATATCATGGATTTAATCCTTTTTTAAATCTTCTAAAACTATTTCCTAAAGTCAGCTGAATTTCTATCTGGCCACACCTTTGTAGAGCTACAATTCTGAAGAGTGAATATGGAAGGACCTATCTGACCACAGGACTTTTAAAAAAGCACGTCTTAATTCTGTACTATATTTTTTAATGCAGAAGAGTCCACACTGCATAATAAATAATGTTGACAACAAAACTATATTTAGAAATCAGCAAGAATGATGGTTGCTACTATTAAAACGTTCAATGGTAGTTAGTAGAAAGAAGTAACTATCACTGAACAGTTTCTGTGTTCCCTTCGTTAATGTTATCTCCTTAAATACTGATGACAACGCTTCCGACAAACATCATCATCCCCATTTAACAGAGGAGAAAATCGAGTACTGGAAGATTAACGTGTAGACTGTCTGCTCCTGTACAGATTTACAGCCTCGGAAACACTTTGGAGCGGTTCTATGCTGTTCTACAAAGTCACTCTGAACCGGAATCCACCAGATGGCAATGGACAAAAGTTAACTTGCTCAAGGCCACTTGCTAGTAAGTTGAACAATAAAATTTAAAGTCAGATCTATCAAATTAAAAAGGCTATATGCTCTTTTTTATCTCATCGGTTTTCTCCTTGAATTAGAACTGAAACCCTTAGTATTAAAGGGGTGTGCTAAAAAAGATTTCTATGTAACTAAGAGTTTTCCCACATCTCACATGAGTGTAGCACGTAAATGCTAGTGAATTCTCTATGTGCATTACAGGCACAAGCCTTCAGTCCATATGTTTTTAATTGAACACTGAAAACAATGTCCTCTGATATTTGCTAAGTGTAATCCTGGGAATTATGATAATTTAAACACTGACAACCTCCAGGAGGACTGTCAGTCTTGTCAGAAATGGCTCCCAAGCCTCCCATGGGGCTAAGCCACTTTAAAGCCAAAGAGCCTTTCAATCCTTATACCTGCCACAAGGTGACTCTCTATATTCTTCTGGGTTGGCAAGCTGACGAGCAAAGCAATGGCACCATTGTAGTGAAATCGATGCCAACTCATAGTGATCCATGTGTGTGACTGGTAGAACTGTGCTCCACACGGCTTTCAATGGCTGTGACTTTCTGGAAGCAGATCACCAGGCCTTTCTTTCAAGGCACCTCTGGGTGGATTCCAACATCCAACCTTTGTGTTAGTATCTGAGTACATGAGTCATTTGTGCCAGCTACGAAATAGCATAAGGGACGAGTTCTCTATGAAGGGGAGAAGTTCCAAAAGCCCTACAGTGCTCAGATCGAGTAGCTCTCTTGTTGCTGTTAAGTGCCTTCGAGTCGACTCCAACTCATAGTGACCCTGTATGGGTTTCCAAGGAGTAGCTGGTGGGTTAGAGCCATCCTTGTGATCCAACGCTTGTCCTACAGCATCACACCAGGACTCCGAGGAGTTTTCTAGTCCCAGGTGACTTTGGTCACTATTTGACGTTCCCTGTTTTTTGCTCTTCCCCACCAAACTAGTCCCCAGAAAATGCAAGGCTAGGTTAGGCTGCTGCTCCCCTATAGGTTAGACTGTTCTCCCCTATAGGAAACGCTGGGTTTATACTTCATATTGTTGTTGTTGTTGTTGTTATGTGCCGCGAAGTTGGTTCCGACTCATAGAGACCCTGCACAGGGTTTCCGAGGCTGTTACTCTTTATGGGAGCAGAACGCCTCATCTTTCTCCCACAGAGCAGCTGGTAGTTTCGAACTGCTGACCTTGCGGTTCACAGCCCGATTCGTAACCACTACGCTACCAGAGCTCCTTATACTTCATAGAGAGTCTCTGAATTGTACAAACAGTGAAGCGCTACCGTTTGGGTATTTGTTTCATAGTTTTGTTTTGTTGGGTTACACTACATTATTTGGCTATCAAAGATTCGCTCTGCCATTAAGTTCTTGGCTGCAAAATGTTTATTAATAATCTTTACAAGGAGACAGATTTCAACATTCAAATTTGCCCTTGCTGCCTTGAGCAATACAGTCTACCAACTCCACCAATGGCACCCTTTCCCCGTCTGGAAGCTTCCTGCAAGGCCCACAAACAAAAGCCCTGACCATGTCTGCCTCTGGGGGAGGTCCACAGTTGGCTTACCTTCATGTGGGATTTGAGATTGTCCTTGCGAGCACATCGGAATGGACAGAGTGGGCACTGGTGACTTTTGAGGCCTGTGTGAATCACCATGTGCCGCTTCCAGTAACTCTTCCTTTTTATAACCAAACCACATATTGGACACTGGAAAGGCTTTCCACTTTCTTCTTCTGAGGCTTGGAAAAAAAGGAAAAAAGAACAAGTGAGGAAAACAAAAGGGCACATTGCATCACGCGCTAATTCATACACATTGTTACATAAACAACACGACAAATGATTTGTTTTCTTCCACCCCCACCCCACCCCTTGGCAACTCAAAAGATTCTATCCATGATGTAGTTGTATTACGTGTTTCTTCGGGTAAAAGCCGACGTTCATTTCTGTCTGATCATCCTGCCTCTGTGAAAAGTCTGAAGGCCACCACAGACTTTGCATGAGCGGTCCTAGTGAAGGTACAGGGCACAAGTCAAAGAAGTCTGAGTTCTAGGAGTTTGTTTCCTGAAGGAAACCGCCCAACATCAAGTTTGGATCCTAATTCCTGGAACTTGGAAGATGGAGGGGAAAAGACCAATCAAATGGGACAGAAAATAATGGTGTGACGCTGCAGGATAATGCACTGGACTGCAAAGTTGGTTTGAACCTAAAGGTCAGTAGTTCAAACTCACCAGCCACTCCTAAGAAAACCTATATAGGATCGCTCTCAATAGGAATGGACCCAATGGCACTAACCTACAACTACATTGAAAACCAAACAGCCGTCATAAACCCCACGTACTGAACTCCAGTCGAGAAAAAGTTTGGAATCTCTGTCACTGACTTCAGGTGCCCTGATGGCACAGCAGTTAAAGAGCTTGGCCACGTACCAATAGGTCAGCAATTAGCACCCACTAGGAGCTCTGGTAGCGTAGTGGTTACGAATCGGGCTGCGAATCTTAAGGTCAGCGGTTCGAAACTACCAGCCGCTCCGCGGGAGAAAGATGAGGCTTTCTACTCCCGTAAAGATTTACACCCTCGGAAACCCTGTACAGGGTCGCTATGGGTCGGAACCGACTCGATGGCACTTAACAACAACAACTAGGCACTTCTCCAGGGAAAGATGTGGCAGTCTGCTTCTGTAAAGATTTACATCTTTGGAAATCCTATGGGGTAGAATCAACACTGAACTACAGACCACAAGGTCAGCAGTTCAAACCTACCTGCTGCTCCTTAGAAACCCTATATAGGGTCACTATGAGTCAGGACTGACTTGAAGCCACTTAATAATAACAACACATGGGCATTGTAAGTGGGAATTGGCCCGATAGCAATGGGTTTTTTGGAGATTAGTTTTGACTTGTTTAGCTATGATTGCAGCAGATGGTGATGCCAATTTAGGCATCTTAAGGTTAGAGTTTGTGGCCCTCTTCTTTCTGTCTCTCTGAATGTCACAAGAGATACGTGCTACTTTTCTCTGCATTGTGACGTTGTGAAGAGCGACAGCCACGCAAATACATAGGCTTCAATTTTTCAGGAACACCAACAGAGTAATGATCACTCTAAGTTACGATCACTCTTTCCTACACTCACCTTACCCCCCATCCCCAAAGATCAGGTTCTCTGTTATGACACTGTATTGCTAAACTTCTGGCCTAATATATAACGTATATTGCTCCGTGCCACACTGACCTCTGACATTTGGAGAGATGGGAAATAAAACAAAAGTGAAGTTGAGGACTCAAACTTTCCTGGCTTAACTATTCCCAAAATGTACATGGTAATTCACTCACAAAATTAAACATATGAAGCTGTTTTTAAAATGCGCTAGATCTATAGATGCTGATGGAAAAATATATCCAAAGTATTAGAGTTAGTAGATAAAAGCAAGATCCAGAAGAGTATGTCTGCAGTGATTCTATGTTTGCTTTTTAAGAAGTGGGAATCAATTGTCCAAAAAACCATGAGGAGAAAGGTTGATGGGGACTTTATATAAAGGATGGATCAAGTTGATAACACCTAAAACCATTACCCCAATAAACATGGGACAATCATATGGATGCGAAAGCTGGACAGTGAATAAGGAAGACCGTAGAAGAATTGATGCCTTTGAGTTGTGGTGTTGGAGGAGAATACTAAAAGTGCCATGGACTGCCAAAAGAACCAATAGATCTATTTTGGAAGAGGTGCAACCAGAGTGCTCCTTGGAGGCCAGGATGGCTAAGCTTCGTCTCTCGTACTTTGGACATATTGTCAGGAGGGAACAGTAGTTGGAGAAGGATGTCGTGCTGGGTAAGATGGAGGGTCAGAGAAAAAGAGGAAGACCCCCAATGAGATGGATCAGCCAGGTGGCATCATTGATGGCGTCAAGCGTGGCAACGGTGGTGGGGTTGGCCCAGGATCGGACATTGTTTCCTTCTGCTGTACATGGGGTCGCTATGAGTCGGTTCTGACTCGATGGCACCTGACAACAACAACAACAATCAGATATCATGTGCCTTCCTGTATGCCATCTATGAAACATAATTAGAAAAAATTAAATGACACCAGAATGTAATCATGCCTCTAAACAGCAAGCAGTATATAGAAGTGGTGGTGTGGTGGTGGTGGTGGTGTGGCATGGAGTTGGTTCCGACTCATAGTGACCCTGCATAAGATTTCGGAGACTGTAAATTTTTACTGGATCAGAAAACCTCATCTTTCTCCCATGGAATGGCTGCTGATCACCTTAAGGTTAGCAGCCCAACTCGTAACCACTATGCTACCAGATTGATAGATATGTGAAAACACACCAAGGGAATGGAATCAGCTAAATCCAGAATGTGGGAAATTCTACAGGTAAGGACTCAGTTTCATCAACAAACAAGTAGCATTTTTTTATCAAAGACAAGGATTATAGATAAAAAGAAATTTAAGAGACATACAGAAGTCCTCTGGTAGTGTAGTGGTTATGAATCGGGCTGTGAACCGCAAGGTTAGCAGTTCGAAACTACCAGCTGTTCCACGGGAGAAAGATAAGGCTTTCTGCTCCCGTAAAGATTTAAAGCCTCGGAAACCCTGTACAGGGTCGCTATGAGTCGGAACCGACTCCACGGCACACAACAACAACAACAACAATAGGAGTCCTGGTGTGGCGCTGTGGGCTAATGCGTCAGACTGTAAAAGTCATTTGAACTGCAAGGCCGATGGTTCAAGCTCATCAGCTGCTCCTTGGAAACTCTATAAGGGTCGCTATGGGTAGGAATCGACTCGATGGCACTTAACATCAACAACAAGAGACATATTCAATAATTGTAATGTGTGAACCTTTTTTGGGTCTTAATTTTAGGAAAGCAATGAAAAAAAATGTTAAAAAGACATTTTTGAAATAATTGGGGAATTACTGAGTATAACCCAGCGTTTCATAATATTATGGAACAACTGTTAATCCTATTATATGTGATAATGGATTTGTGGGGTTTTTTTTTGTTTTTTTGAAGTCCTTATCTATTGGAGATACATGTGGAAATATTTACAGGCAAATGGATATGCTGTTTGGAACTTACTTTAAAATGCTTCAGCAGGGAAAAACAAAAAAAGTGGGGGGAGTTGTAAAGGGAGATAATGGGAAAATGAAACCAAAAATGACATCCTTTTATTTGTGTGAAATTTTTCAGGAACCATAACCAAGAGACCACTCTGTGGTTGCCTCTGAAAGATTAGGGATTGAAAGAGAAGTGCTAGGAAGTGAAATGTTTATTAGCGGCACAATGGTTAAGTACTTGGCCACGAATCAAAAAATTGGTGGTTCAAATCCACCCAGAGCTACCTTGGAAGAAATACCTGGAAATCTACTACTAAAAAATTACAGCACAGTTTTACTATGAAACACCCGGGGTTGCTAAGGGTCAGATCTGACTCTATGGAAAGGAGTGTAGTTTTATTTGGTACTGTTTGAATTTTCAAATACATGTGACTTTTACACTTTTAAATGGGACTATTCCCAAGTGTGTAATTTAAAATAATCATATTATCTATTCATTTAGTACATGCAGAAGACCACTTAAATGGAAACAGGAAGAACTCGGGAACATTGTTGTTGTTAGTTGCCATCAAGTCAATTCCAAATCATGGCAACCCTGTTTGTGCAGAGAAGAGCTGCTCCATAGGAGCGTCAAGGCTCTGATCCTTTAGGAAGTTGACTGCCAGACCTATTTTCTGAAGTATCCCTCAAAAAATAAAAGGGGAAAAAAAAAAAACCTCACTGCCATCAGGTAGATTTCAACTACTAGCAACCCTTGAGGACAGAGTAGAACTCAGGACCACAGGGTTACTGAGATTGTAAATCTTTATTGGAGCAGACAGCCTCATCGTTCTGACAAACAGCTGGTGGGTTTGAACTGCCGGCCGGCCTTGTGGTTAGTACGAGGGTTCATCAAAAATTATCTGCACTCTGGCTGTAAAATTTATTTTAATCAACTTTTAAAAAAGACAGATGCATCATTTTTCAACATTATCTCCCTGCTTTTCAATACACTTTGTCCATCTGTCAACAAGTTTTCGTATTAAGCTGAGCTGCAAGTCATGAATGCACCGCTGTCTTCACTTCTTCATTAAAGATGAACCTTTGTCGTTGAAGGGCTTCTTTCAGGGGACCCAACAGGTAAAAGTTCGATGGAGCAAGATCAGGACTATAGGGAGGATGCTAAAACACCTCAAAAGGAAGTTTTTGCAGAGTGTCAACAGGATGGGCAGAGGTATGTGGACACGCACTGTCATGCAAGATTGCAACACTCCCAGATAACAGTTAATCTGAAATTTAGGCTTCAGCTTTTCAGTGTGCATCTCACTGAAATGAGCACTAATGATTGTTGAACCTTTTTCCTGATAGCGTTCCAATACTGGCCCTTGAGAATCCCAGAAAACTATAAGCATCAATTTTCTAGCTGATGGCTGAATTTTCTTGATCAGAAGTTGAGGATGTTTCCAATCCATACTCTGCAGTTTACTCTCAGTGATTAATCCATGTCTCACAATGATTTCTTTTAAGAAACTTTCAATTTCCTTTGAGTATCAGTCCAAATTTTGTTTGCAGATGTCCAAACGCTTCTGTTCATGCTCTTCTGTGAGTGGTTTCGGTACCCATCTCACACAAACTTTTTGAAAACCAAGGCTGTCATGGATTATTTTCTAGGCAGAGCCATGGCTGATTTGCAAATGATCT